GCTGTCTTCTTCTGGATCAAGGAGGTTCACTTCATGCTGTCTTCTTCTGGATCAAGGAGGTTCACTTCATGCTGCCTTCTAGATCAAGGAGGTTTACCAGGGTCCAGAGGACATTCTCCACTCCTGGTTTTGCTGGTCATGTCACACCCCACCCCTCCTGCTTCTCAGAGGGATCATTTTATACCCAACATGGTGGCAATGGAAGTCATCATGTTAACAGTGACTCACGGGTGAACACCCTCAGTGTCTTCCCCCACCTTCTCGCCCAAACTAATGCAGGTAAAAGTCATTTAATGGGAGTTACAGAGACTTTGGCTAGAAGAGCCATATTAAATAATTTATTGGTCCTGCAACATACCATGAAGAAAGAACAAGACAGTTTTAGAAGAAGCACAACCAGAATGCTCATTGGAATCAAGAATGGTGAGATATCAGCTTGCTTCCTGTGATAGTTAATATGCATCCACTTGACTACTACTTGATGATGAGTGGCCTGGGAGCCCTGGTGGCGTAGTGGTTACGGGTTGGGTTACTAACAACAAAGTCAGTAGTTTGAAACCACTAGCTGCTCCTCAGGGGAAAGATGAGGCTCTCTACTCCTGTAGAGAGTTACAGCCTCAGAAACCCACAGGGGCAGTTCTACCCTGCCCTACAAGGGTGCTATAGGTTGACATCAACTCAATGGTAGTGAGTTGTTTTTGTTTTAAGTTTTGGCAGGCACTGGACTGATTGTTAATATTGTAATGTAATGTAATCCCACACCCTGATATGATCAATCAGTTGAAAGAGGCGTTTCCTTGGGAGTGTGGCCTCTCTTCAGTATATAAATGAACATTCTGACAAAGTTCTCTCTTTCCTTTGCTCCTCAGCCCCCTGCACGCCTCTCCTCCCCCGACTCCTGGTTCCACAGTAAACCTGCACAAGTTTCTGGCCACCTGACCTGCAGATTTTGGATTCACATGCCAGTTCAACTCCATGAGCCAATGTTCAGCAGATTGGCTCCTCATATCAAATCACAAGAAGGGACGATGATTACCTTATATGACATTGTGGAAGAACAAGCCACCCAATGTCTGCCAAACCACTGGGAATCGTGGACTAGCCAAGTTGACATGTAGCATGAACCGTCATCATCAGAATGATATGATCTGAGGAACGCTTCATAACCATCGCTGGGTCTGATGGAGGGAGAAGGTCACTAGTTGAAAATGAGGGTAGCTTCGGGAAAAGGCAGGGAAATGAAATTCCTTTCGAACCTCCAGACAGAATGCAGTCTTGACCACCCATTGATTTTAGCCCAGTGAGACCCATTTCAGACATCTGACCTCCAGATAGTGTAAATCAGTCTGTGTTGTTTTGAATCATCGAGTTTTGAAATTTTGTTGCAGCAGTCATTGGAAATGAATACAATGTTTCTTTTCTTAGTGTAGAATTCGATACAGTAGTACCACATTGGGGTAGTTACACAATTTCATGTCAACTTAATAAGAATGAAGGAGTCTAGCCTGTGAATCATGTGCCACAGCCTAATACTTCCTTATGGACCTGGCCTTCTGATGCCTCTTTTCCTCCCTGGAGGCAAAGACACACTCTCTCTGCTTCACTTTCTTGCTGATGGAGCTACGCAGATGGCAGCCAGAGCTCTGGAGCTGCAGCCACCACCATTGGATCCACGGGGCTTTCCACCCACCAGCCTGGGATCTTCCTGCATTTGGCATCATTGTATGTGCTGCGAGAGTCAGAAGGAATGTATGGACCAGTATAGGACATATGAGCTAATATTGGACTTATTATGGACTTGATCTGGACTGGATTGGGATGTCTTCTCAATATACAATTTCTTTTTGATATAAAGTTCTCTCTTACACACATATAAGTGTCCATGAATTTGTTTCTCTAGTCAACCCGGTCTAACACACACATCGTTATAGGAATATTATAGACTAAGACTTTTAAAGTAAGCCTTTCTTTTGTATTTACCAGGAGCCCTGGTAGCATAGTGGTTTCCATGTCTGGCTGCTAAACCCAAAACCAGCAATTCAAACCCACAAGCCATTCCGTGGGAGAAAGATGAGGCTTTCACTCCCATCAAGAGTTACGGCCTCTGAAACCCCAGGGAGCAGTCCTGCTCTGCCCTGTACGGTCACTATGAGTCAGGATCGATTGGCTGGCCATGGTCTTGGCTCTTCTGACTTTAAAACACTGCGAGTTTATCGGCTACTAAAGTCACCATGGGACTTATGAACTCATTTTGCCAGTTTTTGCACGTTTCCAAAGCAATCCACACTGAAGGCCTTTTGATGAGAGCATACGCCTTCCTGGACCAGCTCCATGTCGGCTTCCCTTTCCCAGGGCACAGTAAAGCCCCCAAATCTCCTTGAGCCATCAGCACAGAGCCAGGGGACAGTGGGGGGTGGGGTGGGGAGCTGTCCTTGGAGGAGGGGGTACTCCACACCATGCAGCTGGGCGAGTGAATCCAGCGGCTGGGCCCCAGTGTTCCCACAGGCCAGCTAGGAGGTGTCAGGATATTGTGGAGGAACACATCCCAACCCTTGGGGATGTTAAACCTAAGCTTCCCAGTTCCCACTTAGGAAATTCCTTATCTTAAGGAATTTCAGAAGGAGGGCAGGAAGAAACTTCAGATAAATTACTGATCGTAAGTATTTCAGGAAGGAGGGAGAGGGAGCGAGCTAAGGAGACTTGGGATCGGAGAAAACCAACCTCCCTGCCCTGGAGTCCAGGTTAACTCACAGTGACCACTAGCAGAGAGCAGAGCTGCCTCCGTGAGTTTCCAAGACCGTACATTTTTACGGGAATAGAAAGCTTCACCTTTCTTCTGTGAATCGGCTGGTGGTTTTGAACTGCTGGCCTTGCAGTGATATTAAAGCTCATTCACTCATGAGAAAATTTTCCTTAACACAGTCTGCTGTGGCAAAGCACCCACTGGGGGCTTACGACCCATAAATGTATTCGTTCACCATTCTGGAGGACAGAAGCAGGCAGAGTGTGGAAACGTCTAGCTAGGGGAAGGGTGTTTCCTTGTCCCTTCCAGCTTCTGGTGGCTTCTGATATTCCTTGGCTTGCGGCCACATCGCTCCACTCTCCGCCACCATACTTTCTATCTCCCTTCCGTGTCTCCGTACCCTCTCTTTTTCTATAAGGATATCAATCATTGGATTAGGGCCTTAAGTAATTAGTTCTGCAAAGGGCCCTTTTCCAAATAAAATCATATTCTGAGGTTCCAGGTAGACATTATGGAGGGGGTGGGGGGCAGGCACAATTCAACCCAGGATACCATTCATTAAATTTTTATTTTCAGCATCTTGGGTCATTGTGTTAAAGGCAGCCATTAGGGATATATATACATATATATATTTCCTTTGCCTGTATATATATTTGCCTGCATATATATATATATATACACACACACATACATATTTCCTTTGCCTGTAGCTCATTCTGCAGTTTACCCTCATCCAGTTCTCTTTCAGGATCTTCTTCCTTTTCTCCTTCTGTGCAGGAATCCTTTTCTAG